TGGGCCTCCAGGAACAAAGAGTTGCTCCCACGCAAATTCAAGATCACCAAAGCAAAACTCAATTGGAAGTCAGATGAATTTGCAACTTTCAAAGCTCTAAGGGGGGCAGTGGTTGCAATTTTCTTGAGGTGGCTCTATGATTTGCTCAATGAGCGTGATTGTGGGAACCACAGGATGTTCCAGGTATGGTTTCCACGAACCCTGGTGCTTTTGCCTGGATGTCGATGTCTCTAGGATGTCCATGCACCACCACTCGTGTGAAGAAAGCACAGCACCACCACTCAATAGACATATGTTTTTTTTGACGTGCATTCTACACATCGATGGACCAATGGCATGTCAAATGAAGCAAACCCGGTTGTCCAAAAGCACCGATCACGACGCACCTTCCGGATGAGTCAACGACAGTCACAAGCTTGAAGAAAGGCGCGAAAGATCGTGACAAGCGCCAAGTTCCCCAATCCCAAATGATGCACAGATGTAAGCAACTATCGCCTTTATAGTGGTGTTTGGTGGTGAATAAGAATATGTATCATCGTCCGGGCCATGTTTTTGTTTCACCTTGCGAGAGTTTGTGTCTGGGGTGGAGCAGGTGCAGGGTCTGTGCAAATGAAGCTTCGACAGTCATTGACATGGCATCTTATGTTTTTCAAATGTTTGTTCAGAGTGAATGGAAGGACATCCTTAAACTTTAAACCATGGCCCAAACATGCCCAAACGATCCATGGTGATGTAAGTATGACGATACAAAAGCCAAAAAACACCAGTCATGTGGGCGAGACAACTGCGCCATGCGCCATTTGTCTCATCTGGGCATCTTACAGATCGCACCTGCTGCGCTCATATTTCGACCTCCTGCGGCAGCGTATCCAGACCATCGGTCTCATGCAAACTGCTTACCATCGGGCAGGAGCCCACGAACGGAAGCCAAGACACGAGACCAGCAAGTTAAAGAGAAAGCTGTAGACCAGCAGCAAGAAGCCTGCAATCACCTGAGCTCACGGCTCCTCATCAGGGCTCCACAGGGCTCAACCGGAGGCCCGGTCGCTCTCGTTTCGACCGTCGGTCGAGACCCAACACCATCGAGACCAGTCACAGTCAGGTGCCGTACGTGTCATCCCAAACTGAGGATCTTCGATCCCTTGGATTTTCTGCACCCTTTTTTCCGCAAGTGAAGGGACCAGTGAAGGGATGCAGGGCACCCCGCGGCCACTCCCATTTTTTTCAGAGCCCAACATGGAACTGCTGGTTCATCGAATCGGCACTCTGCACGTTTCACCTGAATCTCTCTAAGCTACGTACCTTTCTGGCCAAAAAAGCAGCGAATTAGCACAGTTCCCATTTGCATGCCACACCGGTCCAGACTTCGACGGGTTTACCTCGACATATTCTGATGTGGGTGTGTGTCTGCAGACCTCTCGTCGCAGCTCTTCAGTCCAAGAAGCCACGAAGAGGGAAGGGCTCTTGGCAGAGATTCCAGTCAAGTCTTCCTGGACGCTGGACGCATGGCATCGAGACACCAGGGCTCGAGTCGAGGGGCCATGGCAACTACATGCTTCCCAGAAAAAGGATCAGGCTTAGGCTGGCTTAGGCTTAGACTGGCCAAATCGGAGGATACAATATGATGTGAAAGAAATTCTATAACAAATTCAAATGAAAACACCCGAACACCAAATTCAGAGCAATTTCATGCCCAAGCGCTCCGTTCACAGCCCTTGGTTCCCTCAAACCCCAAACCCCTCCGATTCGTGTTCGACCCCTCACGTCTGGGTGAACCCATTTTTTGAGGTATGACTGGACCCTCTAAACCAACCCCACCTCCCACCTCCCACCTCCCACCTCAGCCCTCAAGATTCAAAAAGGGGGGTATACATGCCCAAGAGGTGTGCCGTCAGGGCGTGCACATCACTGGCGTGTACAGACCACACGTGTACAGACCACACGCTAAGAATCCAAGTCCAGAATGCCCACGGTGAGCTGCAGCAAATGAGTGATGGTGGATCCCACACCATCCCATTCCTCAGGACGGTGCAAGCGCAGCGAACCGCGCGTCTTATTTCGCGGTGAACCGCATGGCAAAGCGCTTAGAGTTGGTTCGAAGTTGGAGACCGTGAAACAAACTACCTGTGCAAGAAAATGTGACGAGTCTAAAGCTCATTCCCAGTGAGCCAGTGATGTACAAAGCCTTGTACTCCCATAACACAGTAAAAGCATGTAGGCTAGCCTGTTTTACAGCCGTTTTGCCGTTTCATTCGTAAATTCACGAGGTGATCGCCCAACTTGGACCCTTTGTGACCGGCCTCATGTGCAAAAATGGCCCTTAGCAGAGTCGGAAACCATCGATAACATGTGGGGGTCAAGTGGCTCTCCCACAGGGAGAAGAGCCTATCTTTGTTCTATGTTTTGGTCGACAAGTCGGACAAGTCCCTTCCTCAATGGGTGTAGCTAGGGATACCTGCACCCGACTTCGTTCTGCACCCGACTTCGTTCGTACCTTAGAAGATTTAGACATGCCCTCAAACCAAAACGGTCTATAACCCAGACGCGACCTGTCTGGCACTGCCATAGGACTGCCGCCCCAGAAAGACTGGCACCACCCCCCCCTTGGCACTGATTGGTCCTATACCAGTCCGGTCGTCCGGTCTGACCCAACCGATCCTCGGGACCGACGTCCGAAACGACTCGACGTCACCCATCACCAAAGAGGCGTGGGTGCCCACGATCGCGACCTGCGGTCCGGTGCAAAGCTGTTCTGCGGAAGGAAAAGGAAGGCTGTAAACGGAAGAACATCAGTGCAAACATCATGCAAGAATTTGACCTAAGGTCTGGAAATATACCACCAAATGGCTGGGTTCAGCCATCATACCTTGGTCGATCCACCGACGGAAGGTCAAACTCGCTACGACTGGTCGGGCTCGTTTTGATCCACTTCCACTTGGCTAAGCACAACGCTAGTCAAGTGAGCATGATCATTTGCATTTGGCCATATTTGCCGCATCATCCATCCAATGTCCAAATCAAAACCAAACCCAGTGAGCATGGTGAGCTGGGTAAGTTATGACAACATTCCAAAATATCAGACTTTTTTCATTTAACCTACCACAAGTTCACACCATTTCCCTTGAAAAAAGAACATCGTTGAAATGGTCAACTCCCCCCCAAACACTCATGTCCAGGTGGAAAAAGCGGAAAACCCGCCCTTTTGGCGGATCTCCAACACGGAAACACATCCAGCTCAGTCCAATGACCTGAAGCTTAAAACAAGGATTTGTCCATCTGAAATCATCCAAAGACAAATATAACATATATATATATACATAATAATATAATATATTATATATACATAATATAATATATAAATCCACCTTCATTGTTAGGCCTGATGGTTTTACATGCATTCGAAAAAAAAAACGTTGGGCCTCATAAAATGCATTGAAAGGGTCAATTTCCTATAAAATGCCAATCTGAGCAAGAAACATCAAAACTATAAAGTGGGGTAAGTGAATTCTGAGCAATACACACTAAGAATTGCACCAAGAAACAGCAGGTCTATATATTATATCCGCCGACCCCGGCCGACGCAAGGGGGAGCGCGCCAGGGAATAATGATAGATCCGCCAGAACTCAATCGTTTGGAGCAGAACTCAATGGGTTAAAGCCGTGGCGAAGGGGTGG